CAAAATTATGTTTTTTGAATCCTTGAGCCCAGAGATTACAGAAAGGGTGAGAATGGTTTGGAATCCAGAAACCGCATCCTTACGCCGCATAGAGAGCAAGGCGTACATGGCATGGTTATACAGAGCTAAGAATCATAATTCGGATCCAGAACACAGGGAGAGGGATGAGGAACCCAGCCTCTCAGAGAGGAATAAAAATCACCGAGCAGTCCCACAATGCAAGACGGAGCAGAAACGCACGCACACATGGCAAAATAACCCAGAGAGAGGTTGGCACGAGAATGAGAGCGGCACAAAGCCGAACATTCAGGAGAATCGCAGGAGGGGGAGGTTCAGAATAGAACCATACCAACACCCCATGCCACGACACACACAAGATCAAAATTACCCACAAAGATGGCGAGGTAACAATCCAGGAAAAATTTGGCACCCAAATGGGAGAAATACTGGGCTAAAAATGTACGAGAATCGCAGGAGGGAGAGGTTCAGAGCAGAACCATATCAACACCCCATCCCACGACACACGCAAGGTTCAAATTACGCACAGAGATGGGAAGATAACCACCTAGCGGGAAGGTGTTACACAGACCGCGGAGGTATGGATGCGAACATTCAGGAGAATCGCAGGATGGGAGGTCAAACACAATCGATCCAATTCCGACCAATTCCTCCACCGGCTATACCAGGAGGGAATAGAGGAATAACACAGAATGCGGTCCAAATACGTGATGAACCATCCACAGTGAGTGCGAGCGAGCGGCCAACACGCGCCCCACCCGCCGAGGTGTTAAACCCTGAGCAGGCTGCAAGTGACAGGGCTGAATGGAAGAGTGATCGGACGGTGGATAGCAGACAGCAGAGACAAAGAGAGAACACAGAGACACACCCTGAGGAGCGCAGGCGTGAGCCTTTGAATGGAAAATATCCAAGGGAAACCAAAAATTATGTGGATCGGAGTGCTAAAATGGAGACGAATGTCCATGACGTATCGGGAATGGTGTTGAAATCCAACACACTCGTAAAAACAATGAGGGCAACATTACGAAGGACAGAATTAAATCGACACACTGACTCGGCAAATGTGCATGTAATCGCAGAGAGAGCGAATGCCACGAACCAAGTGTCAAAGTGGGTCGTGTGCGCGAATTCTGGTTACGTGCAGCACAATTTTTCACCACACACTCCCACGACGCGAGAGAGTGAGAGAGGAAACTACAAAAACGAACCCGAAAACCGTGATCAAATTATCAAAGTGATAAGTGGTAAACCAGGCAACATGAGGAAGGTAACGCATAAATGCGTTCGAAACCGCTACCTAGCGTTTCCCAGGATTTAACAAAAACAAAAATGAATGTTCGTCAGAGTTATGATGTATGAGAACCGATGTAACGCAATATCGATGTTAACGTGTGTTATTTTCTTTGCTTAATTCAAATGTAACCAGGATTTAACAAAAACAAAAATGAATATTCGCCGGAGTTATGATGTATGAGAACCGATGTAACGCAATATCAATGTTAACATGTTGTTATTTTCTTTGCTTATTTCAGATGTAACCAGGTTAAGATTGTAATACGTGCACGCGCGTCGTAAGAAATAACCGCCGAGAGTAAGGGCGGCTGATGGGATGCATGACATAAAAAGGGGGCATTACTTTGTTTGAAAATTCGCCAGTGGCCAAATCGACCCCTGATAATTTTCAAAAGGGCGGACTGTTGTGTATGTACCCCCTTTTTATTTTTTTTAATATTATTTATTTATTTTTTTAAAGAATTATTCTGCCAACATAGATAATATCGTTTTTTTTAATAGACGCGGCCACGTGGGAACGAACACGCCCCCACACTTCCACAGAGGCCCCCACACTTCCACAGATGCGCGCATACCTCATTTCAAAGGAGAGAGGACATGAAAGGGGGGGCAATAAGGTAATAAAAAAAAAACTCCCCTAAATTCACACAAGAGGAACAAGGGAGGGGGGGAATTGCAGGCGGGGGGTTGCAGAACCAGGAGACACGGAGGAAGAGATAATTATATTTTTAACAAAGAAACAGCATCGACGACAAAAAGCACAGATGGGTCTTTGAACCATGTTAAATACACAAGTTACCAACTTAACCATAAAGATTAAGCAAACAGTATCCATCCTCACTCCAATTGAAAACCAGACGACAATCTGAACCAGAATCGCGACCCATCATTGTTAATAAATACTGACATTATTTACCTTTAAAGAATATCTACACGGCCGGGCCGAAGCATCAAAGAATAATTATGGCATCGATTTCGCTCCAAAACAAAATTCCTAGCCGGGATATCAGATCAAATAATCACAAGAAGTCAAATAATAAGTACGGAATTAAAGTAGAAGAGAAATCAAGGGCGGAGAAGGCTCTCAAAATTAACCAAACACAACACCCATGGGAAGCGAGCAACACGGCCGCCTTTGTCTTTCCGAGAGGATCACGACACACAGGCACCAAGCCAGGAAATGACACCCATAAAGTTGGGGCAAGGGCTCAAAGGAAATTAACACACGCCTTCGAATAAATAAGCATACGCCGGGTGCTCCCACCGTGGAAACAACCGCCTTTGTCTCCCCACAACACGGACAAACACGCACGCGAAACACACGGACGGACACACACACGGACGCAGATGGTTCAGCCCACAGGAAGGTTTTATGACACAGCCTTTGAACAACTCGGGAAGCCGAGTGGAAGTTTCCGATATAAACCGAAGGAAAATCCATACAACACAGATCGTCCGGGCCACGAGCTCCACCAGAGATCATCCGGGCCACGAGCCCATCTTCGGCTCCACCACAGATCGTCAAGAAGTTTTCATCATTGAGAATGACGAGGGTCGCGGAGTAGCGACGCGTAGCTACAAGCCGAGGTCTGCACCACCTGAGAAGAATCGCTACCCTGAGTCGCAGAGCTGCGAGTGAAGCCAACAAAGACGCCAACGTCCACCCTGCCACGAACGAAGCATCGCTCCTCGTCAGAGTGACGACCAGCGAACAACCCGCAGGAAAGGCGGAGATCGCTGAACGAGCGCCAACTTGCGACACCGTGCGCCACCGTGCGCCACCGTGCACCACTTTGCGCTGAACGTGCGCCACCGTGCGCCACCGTGCGACACCGAGCGACAACGAGCGACACCCAGATCGACCAGCATCAACCCAAACCGACTCGTCATCCCGCCGTGGAGAAAAAGAGTCAAAGTCTTCTGAACGAGCGCCGCCGCTCACCTCACAGCGGAGAAAGTCTCAGCTGCCGCTCGCACAAACAACAGAGGTCGTATCGCTCCCCACATACAGACTCAATAAAACACAGAGAAAATCTTGTCAAACCAGTTTCCTTTGTCCCAGAATCTCGCCGAAGAGTTAATTAAAACAGAGCCAGATTCGCTCTCGCGCCCACACGCCCTCACCCACCATTGTATCAAACATTCCGTTAAAAAGGATTTTAGACTTGCCGATGAATCTATTGACATATACTTTCGCCTCTGGGATACAATAAGTGCTTTTTATTACCGCCATATGAAGTGTGTCATGCTTGTTTTCAAACTCGACCAGTCGCCGATTGTGATCAATACATGGGCGAACTAATGATGCCTGGTAGGAAAAGTAGAGGTTACAATTGATAGAAGTGTTTTTAGTCATTCAGTTCGTTAAATGCATAAGTGTTTATTCATTCATTTTAGTCAAATGCATAATCTCGTAATTGCATAAGAGTTTTGGTTATTCGTATTAGTTAATGCATAATATCGCAAATGCATAAGGATTTTTAGTTATTCAATTTAGCTAAATGCATAAGTGTTTATTCATTCATTTTAGTCAAATGCATAAGAGTTTTCGTTATTCATATTGCATAATTGCATAATGTCACAACTGCATAAGTTTTTGTCGTTCATATTAGTTAATTGCATAATCTTGCCCATGAATTATTGACGCATGTTTGACCTGCATGATAGAATGTCACGTGCTTGTTAGAATAAAATTGTAATCCAGAAGCATATCGAGTGTTCCTTCCAAGTCCATGCAAAACTGTCTTATTCTTGACAACTGTATCCTGTGATGAGATATGAAAATGGAGACCTAAAATATTATAACACACACTAGGATAATCGGTAAATGAATCTATGATAATCGTGTTATCCTGATTGATAACTCTGGATAAACGAAACTAAGCAAATTATCATAACTGCACACATTAACATAATCGCAAGCCTCCGCATAAATTACTACGATTATCTCCGTGATTATCATAATTTATGCATATAATTACACGCATTATCATAATTTATGCATATTAATACACATACTATCATAATTAATGCGATTTGCGCATTTTTCGGAAAATTATTAATTTTTATTTTCATCAAAATTTCATAATTCCGACACATACAACACCTCCCTTATCTACGCTTGCCTAAACAGCTTTTGTTCGGCCGAATTGAGGGGGCTAAACGGGCGCGGCACGGGCTAGAGATGAGATGGAGTGATGTGGTACAGGAGGACGTGCAGCTGAGTGGACTTGCTGATGACTGGTACCAGCGGTGTCAAGATCGGCCTCAGTGGAGGAGGCTCGTGAAGGACGCTACTGGGCAGTTGGAGGCAGTCGCCCTCCAACAACAACGGAGAGCGGAGGAGCGACGCTCACAACAACGAGCGGAGCGCCGGATGTCTAAAGCACAGCAAGTTGGCAGTCGGGGGCACAGGTGGTGCATCAGCCAGTCATCTCGGTCATCTCAGTCAGTCGACCCGTGGCACCTGCTGGGTCTGCCCCGTGACCTCCTGCCAGCGGGCGTTCGACAATTCACGTGGCCTCAAGGTGCACATGGCCTGGCACAAGCGCCGTGGTGATGTCACTACCACTTAGTGGCGAATGGCGGTTGTTGTTGTTGTGTACGTGCGTGAGCATGCATGTGTATGCGTGTGTGTGGTTGTGCATGCATTTGCATGTGTGCGCGTGTTTGTGCGTATGTGTGTGCAGGTGGTCCTACGGGGTGCTGCTGTGGGAGATCTTCACCCTGGGGGGCTCTCCGTACCCGGGCGTCCCCGTGGAAAAGCTTTTCAAGCTGCTCGGTGACGGCTACCGCATGGAGCGGCCTGCCCTCTGCTCCGACGAGCTGTGAGTAGGAATCGGAGATCGCAACGACGACTACGACGATGACGTCATGTTACCTACAGGAGCGTCGTTCGTTGATGTTGTTGTTATTATTACTCTATACCAGGGGTCCTCAAACTACGGCCCGCGGGCCACATGCGGCCCGCCGAGGACATTTATCCGGCCCGCTGGGTGTTTTTGCCGCCGCTGCCTGTCTGTTACTTTTTTTATACATGAGAAGGACGGTCATTGGTGGAAGAGGGAGAGGGGGCGGAGTTCCCCCCAATCAGACTGCATTGATGGGCAGTACAGTCTGTAAGTCTCTGTGTGGGCAAAGTTATTGCTGGTATATTGTTTTTGTAGCGCTGTATATATATTGGTATTTTACTAATAGCAATTTTGACTCCCTAGGAAACAATGATGTCAAGAAAGAGAAAAATTGACTCGGAGTGTAGGATATTCAAAGAACAGTGGACTTATGATTACTTTTTCATGCAGTACAAGGAAAGAGCTGTGTGTCTGATATGCCAGAATATAGTGTCTGTGTTCAAAGAATACAATTTACGTCGACACTATGAAACTCAACATAAAGATAAATATGCTTGTTTGGTCGGAGAAGTGAGAAAAGATAAAATATTAAAACTGAAAAATACATTGGCAACTCAGCAAAATACTTTTGTGAAGCAGAAGCAGCTAAATATTTCATCACTGCGAGCAAGTTTTCAAGTTGCCAAGCTAATAGCGTGCACTGGCAGACCATTCGTGGAGGGAGAATTTGTTAAAGAATGCCTTCTTTCTGTTGCCAAAGAGATGTGTCCAGAGAAGGCCGATTTATTTAGTACAGTGAGTCTTTCAGGACCTACAATTACACGGAGGATTGAAGAAATGGGAGACAATTTGCATCAGCATTTGCAAAACTCCACAAAAAAACTTTCCTATTTTTCCTTGGCACTCGACGAAAGCAATGATGTTCGTGATTCTGCACAACTTCTAATTTTTATTCGTGGGACGAATGACTATTTCGAAGTCACAGAAGAGCTTGCTGCACTGCAAAGCATCAATGGAACAACTACAGGAGAGGATATCTTTCGATTTAAAGCTTTCGTGACTGCAGGGATTCATCTTCTTGGTTCTTTCGGTAAAGTCACATAGAAGGGAAGTAATAAAATAATTCTCACGACGTTTCGGCCACAACGCAAGCAGCCGTCCTCAGGTGAAAACCAGGTCTGTTGGGGAGACAGCGTCTGAATGAAACAGCACACGAGCTTGGAGCATATATAAGCTGGGTTGGAAGCGGGGGAAAGGGCGCCTTGACAAACGAATTTGCATATCAAGAGGAATTTAGCATATTTATGGGAAATGCAGGAATGTTATTAGTACTACATATGTCCGTGCTGCATATGTAGTACTAATCACATTCCTGCATTTCCCATAAATATGCTAAATTCCTCTTGATATGCATCTCTCCCCTCTGAGACATATCCTCATCTCAGGAACCATGCACTCAAAATGGCAACCATCTTTGGCAGCACTTATGTCTGTGAACAGACTTTTTCCAGAATGAAACATTTGAAATCTCCAACCAGATCTAGACTAATGGTTGCACACTTGCATCACTTGTTACGACTAGCAGTGACAAATATGGAACCGGACATTGACCATCTCATTAGCCAAAAGCAGGCCCATAGTTCCCATTGAAATACTGGCAAGTTTGTTGATTTAACGTACTTGTTCTTCATTTTAAATATTGTATTTGTTCCCGTTTTGTTTCTTCACTTCAAAATAAGATATATGCAGTGTGCATAGGAATTTGTTCATAGTTTTTTTTGTAACTATAGTCCGGCCCTCCAACGATCTGAGGGACAGTGAACTGGCCCCCTGTTTGAAAAGTTTGAGGACCCCTGCTCTATACACTACACTATACACTACACTATACACTACACTATAATTGTAAATACAGTAGTGGGTTTACTCTATACACTACATTATACACTACACTATACACTACACACTACACTATACTTGTAAATACAGTAGTGGGGTTACTCTGTACACTACACTATACACTACACTATAATTGTAAATACAGTAGTGGGTTTACTCTGTACACTACACTATACACTACACTATACTTGTAAATACAGTAGCGGGTTTACTCTATCCACTACATTATACACTACACTATACACTACTCTATAATTGTAAATACAGTAGTGGGTTTACTCTATCCACTACACTATACACTACACTATACACTACTCTATGATTGTAAATGTAGTAGCTGCATGTCTGTGCACATTGCGTGTACGCCGTGCGCACGGTGTACACGCACGGCGCGTGTTGAACTTGACTCGCGTGTCGCCGTGCGCAGACACGCGACGATGAGCGAGTGCTGGGCGACCGTCCCCAGCGACAGACCGACGTTCGCGCGGCTGGCGGACGACTTGGGGCGGATCCTCGTGGCCAACGGGGGCCGCCGTGACGAGGTGACCGCTGCCCCGTCCGGGAGGGGGGGGGGGCGACATGGGCCACGGGGCAGAGAGAGAGATGGAGACGTGGGGGTCGTCAGGCCGTAGGGGTCGAACCTGCGACCTCCCGCTTGCCACCACGCTCGCAGGATGCCGTAGAGGGAAGAGAAGTGGTGGTGGTGGTGGCGGTGGCGGCGGTGGTGGCGGTGGTGGTGGCGGCAGTGGTGGCGGTGGTGGCGGTGGTGGCGGTGGTGGTGGTGGTGGCGGCGGTGGCTTTGGCCATGATGACATGTTTATTTTAAAAGGACTAAACGTTGATCTTCTTCACACCAGTGATAGCGATGATCTGTTCTGGTCCCGGGTCTCCACTAGGTCGACTCAGCCTCAATCGAGTACCTGACGTGGTATGTGTATTAAACATCGCCGCCGGGGAGACAAAGGCGGCCGGGCGTGGTGCTGGCCACCCACCCCCTCGTGTGCCACAGCGCCGGTAGCCTTCATAGGTGCTGCTACTCGCTAACAGCACTTGCCCCTACAGTCTGTTCAGGCTACACGGGGATCTTGGTCTTTGTCATCTCTCCCCCATCTTTCCCCCATCTCTCCCCCACCTCTCCCCCATCTCTCTCCACCTCTACCCACGAACATCACTTGCTCCGACAGCCTGTTTGAGGCCACACAATGGGGGGTCTGCTTGTCTGTGTGCGCTAGGACTACGTGGACATGACGGCCGGACTGATGTAGCCCGCCTGGAGATTCGCCGACACTCCCCGTGGTGGTGTTGCTGGTGGTGCTGGTGGTGAAGGAGGGAGGTGGTGGTGGTGGTGGTGCTGGTGGTGCTACTATACACTACGCTACTATACAATATACACTACACTATACACTACACACCACACTACTATACACTACACTATTTTTAGCACCAGGCTAGGGTAACCTACGGGTGTGCTAGGAATCCCCAGTACCCTTCCCCTGGGGTGTGGAGTGTGATAGGACACGGGAACGTGTGCCTGCAGCGGGAACAGCCCAGCCGCCGCCGCCGAAGGAGGAAGGCTCGAGGGTTAGAAGCCCAACCTCGTCGCCGGGCGGTGATGGCGGCGTGCCCCCGCCCGGGGCAGACGAGGGGGAGCCGTGGCGGGGCGTGGAGTAATGGGAGACAGTTCCACGTGCAGCCAGAGGTCCGACGCCTGCACCATGACGGGCGAAGGCGTCAGGTGTGCAGCATAGGCAGTGATTGTGCAGCAGTACTCAGAGTGTAAGCAGAGTCGTGTGAAGAGTGTTTAATAAAACAACTGGCGCAAGCCCTTACATGAAGCTCCGTCTCCGTGTGGATTTACAAGTCTCCAGCGGTGTCAGGAATAACCACACAACACTTGGGAGATCATCTCTGCCTGGTGCCTTTCCTGGTCTCAGGCTATGGAATGCTTTCAGTACTTCCTCAACAGATGGCACCTCAGCCAGGCACTCACAGGGGGTGACTTCCTCTTCCAATATTTGAGGCACCGCAGCCTCAGCAGGGTCATCCCCACTTTGTGCCATGATGTTTTCCAGGCTGGGGTATTTCCCCTCCCCCAGGACCTCACAAAAATGCTCAGCAAATCTGCAAACCTGTTCCTGGGGGTCGGAGATTGGATCACCGTCCGTTTCCCTAATGATGGTAATAGGTATGGCGCTGCAGGTTACTTTTTATGGAAATAAACAGCGATATGTGATCGCAGGCCATTGAGGCAGACTCCATCTCCTCAGTAACCCACGACCACCACCCATCCTTGCAGCGCCTCACGGCTCTCCGAACCTCCGAGCGAAGGCTGCGGTAAGCTTCCTCATTCTCTGACGTGGGATGCTGTAGACGATGAGAGAGGGCCTGTCGCTTTTTCTCAGCCAGCCTGAACACCTCTTTTGTCAGCTAGGGTCTCTGAGGAGGTATGGACCGTGTACCCAAAGTAGCCATTGCAGCTGCATGAGCCACAGTCCTAAACCTCGCCCATTTCCCCTCGACATGAGGAGTGGGGGGCGATGCCAACCCTAGCCGCAAGCGATGATGAAATTCTTGCTTGAAACTTTAATCAGCTAGCTGAGGCCATGCCACGATGGGTTTAAATGGGATCCTGGGTGTACACCCCCCACCGGAGTGGAAGAATGGCAGGCGCATCTTGCAGATGACAAGTCAATGGTCAGTGGGCAAATCAGCTCCTGGTGTCAAGGACATGGGCCCGCATGCACTGGTCCGTCACAATGTAGTCCAGCAGATGTTCTTGCTTGTGTCGTGACTGTGATTGTCACTGTGTGGTGCCGGGCTTACGAAGCCACGGCGGATGATGTGTTGGCATTACGTGCAGCCCGCTCACTGGGCGTAGTACCGCCAGCCCTAGCGGGGCCTGGGTGAGCGCTGGTCAGCGCGGAGGCACCGTGTACAGCGTGCGGTGCGGGCTCCCGGCGAGGGAGCGAGAGGGAGCGAGAGGGAGCGTCAGCCAGCCAGGGTTACGTTGGGGCACGATACGCCGGTTGACCTGCCGACACGTGACCGGATGATATTGGAGGGGGCCACCGGTAGACGGGGGGCCGCTGGGCGGTCACGTGGTCTACAAGAGCCTTCGGGGAGCCTTCGGGAAAGAGCCGGAAAGATCTAGAAGGTGGGCGGGGCAAGGGGTTGTAGATCTGAAGTTTTCGCGACTGCGATGATTCATACTCTTTGGTGTTTTCGGTAAAGTCACGTAGGTGAAAAATAAAATAAAATTAAAACTAAATTAAATCACGACGTTTCGGACGCCACGCAAATGTCTGTCAACGGGCGGGAAAGCGTGGCCTGCTGCTGATGCAGACCAAAGAGTGAGGGGCTCGGGGTTCTTCGTGTTGCTGGCGATGAAGATCCGCATCGGGTTGAAGAAGCCTCTAGTCACGCGGTCAACACCCAAGTGTAGCTTGTGTTGTGTTGCTGAAGAGTGTTGCTCCCAAGACAACGTCTGCGACCGAGTTGGACTCGACACACTTGGACCCGCCGCCGGGTTCATAGAGCAGCGTAGCGCTAACCGCTACACCACCGCTACCCATCGCGCTGTGGGGGTCACCTTGGTCTCGATGTTGCGCCCTCTCAGTGCCGAGCGGACGAAGCGCAGCACGCAGTCCACCAGCCCCTCGCCCTTCCACGTGCTCAGCCGTCGGTCCGGATCTGCCGAGCTCAACTCCCTGCAATGTCACCGCCGTGACGTGAACCCCCGACGTTCCCCGTCGCGTCCACCGCATGACGTCGTGTCAACCGCGGCGTTCCCCGTCGCGTCCACCACGAAATCACCGCCCCTTACCGTAGGCACGCCAAGGCGTTGCAGAACGCCGCGGAAGGCGAGGCGGGCGAGCTGGGTGAGGAGGGCGAGCTGGGTGAGGAGGGTGAGGAGGGTGAGGAGGGCAAGGAGGGCGAGGAGGGTGAGGAGGGTGAGGAGGGTGAGGAGGGCGAGGAGAGCGAGTCTCCAAAGTTGCTCCTCCAGCCGCTCCCTGGCACCAGCACGTGCTCCACCAGCGCCGGGAGGCAAAGCGCCACCAGCGCAGCCCTCAGAGACTCGTGGCACGACAGGTTCCACAGCGTGCCTGGGGTAGGGGTGGTGAGCGTGGGTGGTGAGCGTGGTGTGGGTGGTGAGGGTGCGTGGTGAGTGTGGGTGGTGGTGAGCGTGGGTGGTGAGTGTGGGTGGTGGTGAGCGTGGGTGGTGAGCGTGGTGAGTGTGGGTGGTGAGTGTGGGTGGTGGTGAGTGTGGGTGATGGTGAGTGTGGGTGGTGAGTGTGGGTGGTGAGTGTGGGTGGTGGTGAGTGTGGGTGGTGGTGAGCGTGGGTGGTGAGTGTGGGTGGTGGTGAGCGTGGGTGGTGAGCGTGGTGAGTGTGGGTGGTGAGTGTGGGTGGTGGTGAGTGTGGGTGATGGTGAGTGTGGGTGGTGGTGAGTGTGGGTGGTGGTGAGTGTGGGTGGTGGTGAGTGTGGGTGGTGAGTGTGGGTGGTGGTGAGTGTGGGTAGTGAGTGTGGGTGGTGGTGAGTGTGGGTGGTGGTGAGTGTGGGTAGTGAGTGTGGGTGGTGAGTGTGGGTGGTGGTGAGTGTGGGTAGTGAGTGTGGGTGGTGGTGAGTGTGGGTGGTGGTGAGTGTGGGTGGTGAGTGTGGGTGGTGGTGAGTGTGGGTAGTGAGTGTGGGTGGTGAGTGTGGGTGGTGGTGAGTGTGGGTGGTGAGTGTGGGTGGTGGTGAGTGTGGGTAGTGAGTGTGGGTGGTGAGTGTGGGTGGTGGTGAGTGTGGGTAGTGAGTGTGGGTGGTGGTGAGTGTGGGTGGTGGTGAGCGTGGGTGGTGAGTGTGGGTGGTGGTGAGCGTGGGTGGTGAGCGTGGTGAGTGTGGGTGGTGAGTGTGGGTGGTGGTGAGTGTGGGTGATGGTGAGTGTGGGTGGTGGTGAGTGTGGGTGGTGGTGAGTGTGGGTGGTGGTGAGTGTGGGTGGTGAGTGTGGGTGGTGGTGAGTGTGGGTAGTGAGTGTGGGTGGTGGTGAGTGTGGGTGGTGGTGAGTGTGGGTAGTGAGTGTGGGTGGTGAGTGTGGGTGGTGGTGAGTGTGGGTGGTGAGTGTGGGTGGTGGTGAGTGTGGGTAGTGAGTGTGGGTGGTGAGTGTGGGTGGTGGTGAGTGTGGGTAGCAATCACCGCCACCAACGGCAACATCCCCACCACCGCCACCACCGCCACCACCGCCAACACCACAACCGCCACCGCCAACTTGTCAGATTGCTCGCAATCACCGCCACCAACGGCAACACCACAACCACCACCGCCACCACCGCCAACAACACCACCACCGCCAACACCACCACCACCGCCACCACCGCCACCGCCAACACCACAACCACCACCGCCAACACCACCGCCAACACCACCGCCACCACCGCCACCGCCAACACCGCCACCACCACCACCGCCAACACCACCGCCAATACCACCAACACCACCACCTCCCCCACCCTCCCCCACCGAGAAGCCTCCTCTCTCTCTCTGCCGCCCCCCTCCGGCGGTGTTGGCAGCGGCGGCGGTGGCGGTGCTGGTGATGAAGAAGCAGTCTCCGAGAGCGCCCACAAAGCCGGACCACCAGCAGCGCGGCAGGGAGCCAAGCGGTGGTGCGGCGGCAGCAGGGGCAGCAGGAGCAGCAGGGACAGCAGGGGCAGTAGCAGGGGCAGCAGGGACAGCAGGGACAGCAGCAGCAGGGGCAGCAGGAGCAGGGGCAGCAGCAGCAGGGGCAGCAGCAGCAGGGGCAGCAGCAGGGACAGCAGCAGGGGCAGCAGCAGCAGGAGCAGGGCGTGGAGCGTCAGACAGGAGGGCCGTGGTGGCCATGGTGGTGACAAAGTCCTTCGACCTGGGAGGGGGAGAGTGGGGGAGAGGTGAGCGTGTGTGTGTGTAGACATTACACACAGACACACACACATTACAACAACAGCAACCGCCATTCGCCACTAAGTGGCGGTGATGTCACCACGACGCTTGTGCCAGGCCACGTGCACCGAGGCCACGTGAAGTGTCGAACGCCCGCTGGCAGGAGGTCACGGGGCAGACCCAGGTGCCACAGGTCGACTGACTGAGATGACCGAGATGACTGGCTGATGCACTACCTGTGCCCCCAACTGTGCCAACTTGTTGTGCTTTAGCCACCCGGCGCTCCGCTCGTTGTTGTGAGCGTCGCTCCTCCGCCCTCCGTTGTTGTTGGAGGGCGACTGCCTCCAACTGCCCAGTAGCGTCCTTCACG